GAGATTACAACAGTTGTTGGAAGAAAAAGAAAAGGAACAAGAAGAAAGACAACAGCAGTTACAAATCAGGAAGCTACAACTGTAGCTTCCGCTATTAGTGACTTCTTCTTCAGATTTGGTATGCCATATGAACTGCATTCAGATCAAGGCCGTAACTTTGAATCTGCTGTGTTCCAAGAATGCTGCAAGTTGTTTGGCACCCGAAATACCAGGACAACGCCACTTCACCCACACTCTGATGGGATGGTAGAAAAGTACAACTGGACACTAGGACAGGAATTGGCAAAGTTTTGTAATAGCCGCCAAGGTGACTGGGATGTCTTACTCCCTCCATTATTGATGGCCAGCAGAGCATGAAACCACTGGATACACTCCAGCAAAGTTGATGTTTGGTCGGGAACTTCGGTTGTCAGTGGACCTGTTAACAGGACGCCCACTTATGAAGAGTTGCCTGAGAATGTGTCAGAGTTTGTGAATGTGTTATCAGAAAGGATGGATGATATTAACCATCAAGTGCGTACAAAGTTGAAAACGTCTGCTGATTCGATGAAGTTGACTTATGATAAGAGATCTGCTGAAGTCAGCTTTGCACCAGGAAACAAGGTATGGTTGTATAATCCCAGGAAGAACAAAGGGAAGTCTCCTAAGTTGTCTTCTCCATGGGAAGGCCCATATGACATAGTGGATCGTCTCTCAGACGTGATTTTCCGAATAAAATGTGATCGGCGAGGTAATCCAAAGGTGGTGCATGCCAACATGCTTTGGCGTTATCACGGTCCAGGACATTTCAGTTGGGATGAAGTGGACAACAGAACAAATGACGCTGCTGAAGACTTGTCACCTGAAAAAGCCACTGTCGAAGAAGAAACTCTACCAGTTTTGAGAAGGGAAACAGTGAAGCATTTTATGAAGTTACTACCACTGATGTGACTGTTACCGATAATAGGACATTTCCTAATGGAGCAGAGGAACTTTACGTGAAGCAGAAGCCAACGAGACGGAGACCAGTACGGAAGAAGATACGTCACGTAAAATTAAGAGACTTTGTTGAATTTTAATTTTGTGTTTGTAAATTCTGTACATTTAATTAAGTTATTGTTAATTATCTGTTGGTTTAATGTAAGTGGCTATTGTTCGGGATGAACAATACTAAGGAAGGTGCAGTGTTACGACATCAGAAGTCACACAATGCTGGAAGCATGTGCGCTGGAGTTTCTAGAAGGATCATGAAGGCCTGAGTGCATTCAAGATGCCCTCTTTTTAATATTTAAGTCTGGTGAGAAAAACCAGTGTGATCGGCAGATAGATTGAAGAGATAGATATAGATAGATAATTGAGTCAAGCAAGCAGTAGGCACCGTAAGTAAAGTGTGTGAATCACTGTCATTTAAAGCGTGTGTTATAAAGGTTGTTAAGTTTAAAGTGACTGTGGAAATTCTGTGTATTACAATGTTGTATCGAGAAAGAATAAACTAGTTTTAATTAAGAAAGGACTTGTATTGCCAAAGTTCCTTGGAAAGAATTTATACCAGAAATTAACAAACGAGCAGAAACATAACAATATTTTATTGTTTGATGTTGGACAGTTGCAGAAAGAGGTGTGTTTGGTTTTATCTTTGCATTTAACATTTTATAAATATTTCATTCTTTCATTGATTTCTTCATGGCCTGGTGTTTAAAGCACATGACTGACAATCTGAGGGTTGTGGGTTCGAATCTTTGTCATTGAACATGCTTCCCCTTTCAGCTATGGGGGACATTATAATGTGATGGTCAATCCCACTATTAATTGGTTAAAGAGTATCTCAAGAGTTGTGGGTGGGCGGTGTTGACTAGCTGACTTCCCTCTGGTCTATCACTGCTAAATTAGGGATGGCTAGTGCAAGTAGCCCTTGTGTAGCTTTGCTTTAAATTAAAAATATACCAAATCAGTCATTGATTTCTTTTCTATCTCATTATTCTTGCTGTTGTAACCATTCTGCATTTTTAAAATTTTATCACACAGTCTATCTGTACTTCAATGATATATTTCTGTATATTTTAATCGTGTTGTTGCAATCTTTATTTGCACTTCCAGTAATTTCATTGAGCTTGTTTTCAACCATATTTATTTTTGTTCTTCATTCTTCTTTAAATATTACAACTTTCTGTTAACTCTTCTTTTATATTCCTGCCTCTTACCTCTTGATCTTCTTTGAATTTTCTGTGATGTTCTTTCAGATCTTTCCTTAATTTTCTGTAAGTTTTTCTTATTCTTCTTGTAATTTCTGTTTCATGCTTCTAATTTTTTCTTTCATCTCGCCCTTTTTTATTTTCTGTCTCTTTCTTATCACATTTTGTCTCTTTGTTCTTGATCTTCTTTTAATTTTCTGCATTTTTTTCAAAGTTCTTTTTTTCATTGTTTCATTATCTCCAGCAAATTTTTGATCTTGATTTTCTTGAAGTTTAGTCAAGGTACTCTTTTTATTTTACCAAAATAATTCCACTTCCTACAACAGTTCTGTAATGTTGTTGTGCAAGTTTGTGGGATTGTTTGGTAAAAATAATGTAAAGTACAATCCATGTAAAAATAACAAATTAATTTATTTCCTGAATAATATTTGCTATGGACGAAATTCATTGGTAGGTTTAACTTCACAAACAACATTTTAACAGAAATTCTTAGACTAAAGGTATGTCCAACTCACAAATAAAATTGCTTGCAGAATTTCCTTGCTAATGGATCATTAACAAACATGCTGGCAAACTAATATGTTACATTACTAACTGACTCACAGATGAACAGATTTGCTAATTCTTACTCAATTGATTATGAACTGAGCTGATCTGAAATCCTTAACTAATTCAATCTGACATATTTTTATAGTACTAATTTCTCTGTACTACAAGAAGCTTCTAGATATTGCATCATTATAACATCATGAGAATCTTCTAAAACAAACATCTACAGTACAAGTGATAAAGCAATCCACACACACTTAATAAAGATGGAACTTAGTTTATACAGTTTGGCATTTTATATCTTCGAGGTATGTTTTTTAGTTTCTTCAGGTATTGGAAGATTTTGATTAAATCTTCAAAAGTATTTTGCATATCTTCAAGATTCTTTAGTCATGTCCTTGAGTATATTCTCTAATACATTAACAAGAGAAAAGGCTCAAGTTGACAAAAAATAAAAATTGAGTGGCAACTAGTCTTTAGCATTCACAAATAATTAGTTCTTAAAGCATTTAATAGCCAAAGCATTTCTTATAAAATGTTAAAAATCATTTGATCATTTTAATTATTAAAGTGTTTCTGATCATTACTAAAGTAAAAGAAAACCACTGTAAAGAGCATTAATAGTAAGTATATTTGTAAATAATATTTTACATACCTTTTTATTCCTTTCATTTCATGAAAGTTATAAAATAATTGTTACATTTTATAATAGACTGGTGAGATCAAGAAATATTGGTGATAAATGTGTATGACTTAGGTACGAAGATTTTCAAAGTGGAAGCACATGATGCAGACATTTCTCCTGCTTACAAGAAGGTTTTCTATGTAATCGCAGAAGGTGCAGAAAATAATTTTATGATTGACCGAGATGAAGGAAATATCACCGTAGCTGGAAATGCCAACTTAGATCCCGATTACAACTGTACTGAAACACACTGTAATAAAAGACTTAAGCATGTCCTTAAAATAGAAGCCACAGACTCTCTGATGAAGAAGGAAGATGGTGAAAGCTGTGAGATTACAGTAAATATAAAAGACATAAACAATAAACCTCCCAAATTCCGACTTAAAGAGAGAAGTTTTGAAGTGACAGAAAATAAAAACAATGCACCTATTACCAAGCTTACAGCTTATGATTTTGATTCAAATAACAAGTTAAAGTATCAAATTGATTTTAATTCTTCTAAAGCTTATATGCCAAACTTTAGACCAATTGATGTAGAGGTATACAACTATAAAAAGTTGTTTTATTTGGAAGAAGAAACTGGGGAATTACGGGTTCAAGGAATGCTAGACAGAGAAAGGATGAAGAGAATTGAAATGTTTTTAATAGTTGAAGATGAAAATGCTGAAGTAAGACCACAGACAGATCAAGGTATTGTTGAATATTGCTCTTCTGAATAAGTTAGTTTTAGTTATTTAAAAATGTATATTAGCTAGATGTGTGTGAAATTGCAACTTGAATCACTACAAGTTATGAGTGCAACTTTTTCAGTTTCTAAATACAGTAATTTTAATTGAAAACTGACAGTTACGTTACACTTATATTTTTAGAGTGGATATTATTCCTAACATCAGTACTGTAGATAATTGTCTTGAGGAGTAACCAAATCTTTGTGATACCTGCTGACTCACTCACATTAAAAGTAAGTAATAAACTTCTGTGATACCTGATGACTCACTAACATACATAAAAATAAGTAACCAAATTTCTGTGATACTGCTGACTCACTCACATTAAAACAAGTAATAAACTTCTCTGATACCCTATCACTTACTAACACACATTAAAATGAGGTACAAAATCTCTGTGATACCTGTGGACTCATTAACACACAAGCTTTGGTGAGGTCATCAAAACTAGTTGTCTGAAATAATTAGTAAAGACTTTATCTTTTACTGTGCCAAAAATATTTTATTTTTGTTTTTAATATACAATAGCAAAATGTGATTGAAAAGAAAACCAATATATATATAAAAGCCAGTGTCTGTCATTATGTCACACTTCTTCTTTGGTAATGCTCAACAATATACATTGTCCCTTAGCAACAAAACTATCACCTGATATTGTTGTTAGATCAATAGTTGTGTTTATGTTGAATGTATAATATACATGTTGATTAAAAAACACTAACATTTAGTAATAGTTAACAAAACATTTCTATAATATCACATAATAGTTAAAAACTCAAGCTTTTGTTGCTAAGCAACATAAAAGTCATTGTTGGAATGCAGAATTATAAAAGACACAAATTCCCATGGTTACTTAGCAACGCTGAGTGCTCTATTCTGCTAGATGCACACATAGCATAGAACCCCAAAAGGATGGTTGTAAATGGCCCACTGAACAATCACATTTAATATATGCTATTATCCGAGGCATTGTATCGACTGCATATTTTATATTTCTTCATCCCTGTTTTTTAAAAATTAACAATGAATTCTTTTGCTAAGCATCTGCTAGTTAGGATATAAAACTTGCTAAATAGTCTATGAATGTGTCTGTATAAGTAGTGTCAACTCTGTTTCATGAAACTGTTATCTTATTGTATAGTAAGTTCTAAGTAACCAGACAATTTGAAACTAATTTGCTATATCTGGCTTTTATTTTATTGATATTTACAGATCGAATTGAAATTGTAGTTTGTGATGTGAACGACAATAATCCATATTTTGTGAACAATGACACCGAGGAAGGATACTTGGCCTTTGTGTGGGAAGAAAGTCCTAAGAACCAGACACTAAAGAACATAGTTGCCAAGGATGATGATGAGGACAACGAAATAACATACAGTCTTGATGGAAATAACAGTACAATTCAAGAACTATTTATTTTGGGAGAAAAAAGTGGTAATAATACAGAAAATTACACCAGTTTATACAAAAGTAACTGAATTTTTAAAGTGATTAAATCATCTAATGTGGATAAAAAAAGATTTAACACTAAAGGAATTGTAAAACAAAATACAAACATAATAACAGGAAGCATTTATTAAATGTTTTGGAATCATCATAATTCCATCATCATTAATTTAGAGGTGTACAAAACAAACAAACAATATTTATAATTACAACAGAAATATATACATCAGAAATAAACAATTCAAATATATAAATATGACATGAGAAAGTGAAACTGAGGTACAAGTGAAGTAGTTAAAATAGGTATAAATCCAATGAAGACTATTTAGGGAAGGAAAAAGAGTTTTTATGTATAATGTTTCTTTTATAAGAATTTCAGTATCATGTTTGGCTATTGAAAGAATTTTAAAGTTTTGAGAGAGAAATCAGATGTCCTGTCTCTGTGTTATGTTGATAAATAGCAGAGTTGGGAGTGTTTGTAACCTTCCTTCCAGTTTTTATAAATATGCTCATGTGTTCACATGTTCATACTGTTGCATCATTGAGGTCACGTGACTGGTGTGGCGCCCTCTATTTTCTAGAACTATCTTGTTTTTTCATGAATGTTCTAGTATTTACTAGATAGGGTAGGCGGGTATATATAAGAGGGGACAACGTGACGCGAGAGGATTGTAATGTGTGTATAGACAGTGAGTAATTGAACTGCAGTCAGAGAGCATGAGAGATGTTACAGCGTTTGTTTAGCGCGATTGTTGAAGTTGAGTGTATTGGTAAAGTTATATTCGGAAATAATAAACCAGTTTTATTAAGAAAGGACTTGTGTCGCTTAAGTTTTGTTGGAACGAAGTTATGGAAAGTTAATTAACAAACGGAGACGTAACAATACTTTAAGGTGACGTTTGGTCTTCACTGGATTTAGACCTATTTTAACTATTTCACTTGTGCCTCAGTTTTCATTTTGATATTGTGGGTATCACTAAGACTTGTTTAGATTTGAACAATTTTGAAAAGAGAATTTTTTTTGAAATACCAGAGATACCACAATGAGATAAGAATGGTAGTTGAAAAAGATGTTATTATGGGAAATGTTAATTTCAGGGGTATTGATTGGGAAATTTTTGAGTCTGTCAGTGAGGGAGATGGGTTTTTAGAAATTGTTCAGGATACTTTTATACACCAACAGGTGATGGAACCTACAAGAGAGAATGCTATATTAGATTTAATATTAACATCTGATGTGAATATGATAGACAGAGTTGTGGTTGGTGAACATTTAAGTACAAACGACCATTGCACTATTAGGTGTGGGATTTTACTACATATAGAATTGAAGAAGAATAGTACCCTGATTCCAATTTTCAGGAAAGCCAGTTTTGATGGAATGAGACATGATCTGGCTTCTGTAGATTAGACTAAAGAGTTGGGAGTAGATCTTGAAAGATGTGGGAAGTAGTTAGGGAAAAATTGATATGAATACAGAACATACATGTTCCCTTCAGCAAATAAAAGGGCAACAAGGCAGAATAAGCCAGTATGATTTAGTAAAGGTTTAAGAGATCATATTAGGGACAAACATTGTAAATTCAAGAAATTTAAACTTACTGGAAATAATAAGGACTTGTAGGACTATAGGAAATCAAGAGAGCTGGTTAAAAAGGTAGTTAAAATTGCAAAAACTGTTTATGAAAGAGGGTTGGCTGAGAGAGTTAAATCAAACAATAAGGAATTCTTTAGGTATATGATGGGTGAGCAATATGTTAGGATGGGGATTGGGGCTCTTAAAAATGATAGTGGGGAGCTGATCTCGGAAGATTATGAGATGGTAAACTTATTAAATTGTATGTTCTCTTCAGTTTTTATGAAGGAAGATACAAATATTATTATGGAGAAAATTTTGATGTAAAAAATATCATTTTAAGTTTGAGATTGTAAGAGAAAAGTTGGGAACCTAAAAATAGATAAGTTCCCTGGATCAGACAACTTTTATTCTAGAGTTTTAAAGGAACTTAAGATTTTATTTGTGAACTGCTGGCTAATATTTTTAATAGGTCATTGAGTAGTGGAAAAGTATTAGAAGATTGGAAGTTGGTAATGTTCATCCAATATTTAAAAGAGGTGATAAACATTGTCCAGTTGATTATAGGACAATACTTGGAAAGGTTTTGGAGAGTGTGATTAAAGATGCATTGCAGAGTCACTTAAAGCAGTTTAATATAGAGTCAAAGAGCCAGCATGGTTTCACTAAGGGAAAATCTTGTTTAACAAATCTTCTGATATTCTTTGAGGATTTTACTGCAAGAGTTGATGAAGGAAATACTGTGGATTTGGTTTACCTTGATTTTGAGAAAGCATTTGATAAGGTGCCTCACAAAAGACTTGTTACAAAAATTAAATCAATGGGTGTGGGGGAAATGTTATTAAATTGGATAGAACATGGGCTGAAGAGTAGAAAGCAGAGAGTATTAATAAATGGAGTTAGATCTGATTGTATCACACTTACAAACTGTGTGCCTCAGGGCTCTGTGCTGGGTCCTCTGCTGTTTGTGATTTATATTAATGATATTGACTCTGGAATAACTAACAAAATTTTTAAATTTGCAGATGACATTAAGATTTGTAGGGTGGCTAACTGTACCAAAGATGCTGTAGACTTAAAGGGAGATTTAGATCATTTTATGCATTGTGACAATACATGGCAGATAATGTTTAACTATCCAAAATGTAAAGTGATGCATGTAGGTTTTCACAATTCAAATTACTGTTACAATTTAAATAGGAATACATTAAATACTGTAGTTGAAGAAAAAAGATCTTGTTGTTGTGATCAAAAAATGACTTACATCATCTAAACAGTGTATTGTAGTTAGCAATAGGGCTAATAGGATTTTGGGTAGAATCTATAGAAATATTGAACACAAGACAAAGGATGCTATTGTTTCACTGTATCTTATAAGGCCACATTTAGAGTACTGTGTACACTTTTGGGCTCCCTTCCTCAAGAAGGACATTGAATTGTTGGAGAAGGTTCAGAGAAGAGCCACTAAGATGATACTTGGGATGGTAGGATTGTCCTATGAGGAGAGACTAAAATCTCTAAACTTGTTTTCTCTTGAGAGGAGAAGGGTCAGAGGGGATTTGATTGAGTTGTTTAAGTTTATTAAGGGTATTGATAATATAGATCCACCAAACTTTTTTATGTTTAGCAGTGAAAACAATAGGATAGGGGGTCATTAGTTCAAATTTTTGCAGTGTAGGAGTCATCTACAGTTTAGACAGTACTAGGCCACCCATGACCTTTTGGGTCACCCACTATTCAGAGGTTATGAAGAATTCAAGCTAATTTCAATATTGCACCAAAATGAAGGTTTATTTTGAGATAATTTAATTAAATATTTCAATCCATTCGTATTATTCATGATTCAAGAAAAGATATTTTATTGTTGATCAGGAGTAAAAGGAAAGACCATTTCATTTTTCAAAAAAGTGAAGTCAGAGTTTTTAGGTATTATGATGAATTAGTTCATTATGTTGTGGTCTTTCCTCATAAACCTTCTACAAATAAGAAACAGTAACATTTTATTTTTTCTTCAAATTACCTGCCATAACCAAGGCACATTATTGAGAAATTCTTCAAGATCTTGTTTTTGTCATCTTATACCTTTTAATGAAGATGGGAACATTGACAGGGAAATAGATTTGAATAAAGAAGTTTTGTAAAGAGCACGAACGGTAGTGTGATGTAAAATTACTCGTGCTAAAAATGTTCATAAAAGTGACCCGAAAAATGGCACAAATTTGTTAATTTGTGGCCTGATTTTAACAATACTTGCTTTATT